CCTGGAATGAAACCAAGTGCAGGGGAGGGGGATAGCAGTTTTCTTTTATTGTTTCTTCTTAAAAAAAGAAGGAATGAACCAGTCTAAAAGAGAGAACTCTCTGGGCTGTGTCTATAGATTATTCACTGGCATGATGTTACCCTCTGCAGGGTGCCAGCAGAAAGGGCTGCACAGAGCCACCCAGCTTCAAATGCCTGGAGGGAAGCCCGGGCCTGGGGCTCATGTTCTGCATCCGTAACGTGTTTCCCTGTCCCTGCAGCCCCGGGGCAGCGCTAACGTCGGAGCAGGGCTGCAGACTGCTGTTRTTTTTGTTCTGTGACTACTTATTTGGGCACCTTGGGAAGGATTATGTGAGATGGTTTTCCCAGGCGTTGTCCCCTGCTGTTGGAGGGTTCCTTGTAGCACTGTTGTGTGGTTGGGCTGTTTCCTTAGGATTTTCATAGTAAACTTCCCTGACAGTAGCTCAAAGTAACGTGAGGTCAGGGCTTCTTGAAGCTGCATGCTGAACTTCTGGACAGGGATCTCACTGTGGTCAAGAGAGGTAAATAAAGAAGCTTTAGTGAGGAAGGAAACGTCTGTGACCCCTTCGGGGTTACAGAAAGTATGGATAAGTCATGTTGGTGTTTTCCTCTTTAACCGTGCCTGCCTTTCTTGAGGATCTTCTTTCTCACCTTGAGCTCTGTATAAGGTTGATTTACATGGATGTATTTTTGATCACTGGAGAGGGGGATAGCATCCTCAGCTCCCTGTCTGTGGAGCTTGGAGCAGATGAGAGCACTGTGCCCAGAAGGAAAGGGGTCTGTGATAAGATCCTACCTCCCCACAAAGCAAGGAGCATCACACACATTCGCAAACCTCAGGCTCAGTCATGGAGAGATTCATCTCTGGCGAAAGATCCATGCAGAAGAGAGAGCTATTTTGGGGGAAAAGAATGCTGGTAGATCGTGGGACGCTTCAGGAACTGTCACTCCAGGGGTCCCATCAGTTGGGCTCCAAGTGTCACTTGAAGCTGTCACAGGCTGCTGATGGCCAGGGCAGGGGACCTGCCTCTTCARGCTGCAACTCCAGGGATAGGGCCTGGTTCCAGAGGGGTTTGTGGCAGAAGCTTTTTCCTTTAAAGAAAAAAAAAATAATAATGTTCCTACAGTTTTCCAGGATCTCGGAGAGACTTCCTCCTTGGCTTCTTTGAACTAGCTGCAGTGACTAAGGCAATAAGTAATGAATACAAAACTGTCCCTGAGCAGCATTTTTGGGACAAATGACTGGCTTTGAAGCTGGAATAAAGTGACCTCAGTGTCCTGTACCAGGGCCACAGCATTGCATACTTGGAAAGCAATTCTGGACCGACTTGTGCAAAACCCTTGTTTTTTCCTACGGAGGGTTCAGCAGGAAAGTTTTTCCAGGTGAAACCATCAATCCTGTCTCTTGCGCTGCAGACCCAGCAAAGCTGGTTCTTCCCTTGGGCCGAGCCAACTTTCTCAGTGATGGGTTGGTGCAGCCACATGGGAACCCGGGACCAGAGTGATTAATGACCATTCTCTGAGAGGAGATTGGTGGCTGAGCAGGAGGTGGAGGGAGTCTTGAACAAAAGGAGACACAATTGGCCAAGGGCTCCTGCTGAACCCCACCAGTGACACAGGTGAGGAATGGCGTCTGGCAGTTAAACTTCTATCTCCTGGCCTCAAAACTGATGCTCATTTGAAGTGAGGTTGATGTCACTGCATACATCTTGCCCTTTTTCCATGTGTAGCTTCCCAGAGGTGTGGTTCGACCAACTCTTTTTGTTTGGTTGGGTTTTGTTTGGCTTTGATGAAATGTTCTCACTGTGACTGATGTAGAAGGAGGGTGTCTCTTCCCCCAGTCAAGGCAGCTCCCAGATGCTGCAGCTTCGGGCACTGTCCTACAGCTGTCACTACCATGGTGTACACTTGCCCTGCAAGGATGAGTTTCCAGTATAAATGAAGGAAAACAAGCACCGTACGGATAGCCAGGTTTGGAGCACTGTGTGAACCCAGGTGACGGGTAAAAGCTGGTCAGCAAATCAATAGAGTTGGCCCAGGAGGGTGGCAGGTCCCTGAGGAGCAGAAAGGGGATCGGGGACCCTTGGGGCGGTCGGGCAGGGCCACGAGGGCTGTGGCCTTGCACGTGCAGCACACCCTGCCTGGAGCCTCCCTGCTCACACCCAGAGTTTCCCTRTCCAACTGGTTTCTCCAGGCTGATTGTGAGGCTAGAGAGAAGGAATGGTTGGGGCCATCCTTCTGTTGAACTTCCCCACTATAATTTTGGCTTTTGAGGCCGTTATATGTTAAAAAACGGGAAGTTCCATGTGGCACTTTCCTGAAGGGTCCCAAGCCCCTTCCTCATGGCACAGCCAGGGACATGACCAGCCCCTCTGTGAAGACTTTGTGTGCGGGCAAAGCACGGTCCCTGTGTGCTCCTGGGAGCCTGGCATGGAGGTAGGTCATGGCTGTCTCCAGGATAAGGCACCTGGCTCTGTGCTTCTSCCTCTCTCCTTGAGGGCCAGCTCACCCAGCCTGGTGCCCTGGTACTTTGGAAAGGCTCCCGCAATAGCATACATGTRAGGGAACCCTGGAGTGAGGCAGGAGCAAGAGTTATGGATATATATATAGAAATATAGAGAAATTTCAGGTATTGAAAGCTTCMTGATGCTTTCAATGTCATACTGGAAACAAGGCCAGGATATGCAGGTGAGAGGGACAGTGCATAGGGATCTATGYAGCATCCAGTAACTATGGAACTAGCTGGATAAATGGGTATAAATAACAAAACACATGGAAAATGAAGTAAAGGATGTATTTTTTAACCTTGGCCTCATAGACTCTTGTCCAGCAGCTCTGCTGCCAGTCACCGATGACTTCTGTGTCTACCTGTCCTGCTCTGTGCTCCTTCTCCCTGCTTGCTGCTGTGTGTTATGCACATCCCACAGGGCTCCCGAAGCAGCTGCTCCTGGGGCTGTCATTCCCGTTATGGAGACTCACAAGCAGGAGTCACCCAGAGCCAGGCTGAGCACCCTAGCTGTGCATTTAATAACTTAATTATTACACCCATCYGGTTTGTCGCAGCGAGGGGGATGGGGGTGCCGTGGGAGGCACAGCCTGAGCTCTGCACTGTGGGGAGCAAGTTTGGACCAAGGATCCTCCCACACTTGGAAGCACATGGCAGGGAGAGCCAGCAGCGGGACCCACGCAGTACTTGGAGTACTCGGCTCCCTTCCTTTGCCTTCTTYTTCCTTCCTTTTCCTTCCTTTTCCAGTGAGGAAAGGCAGACTGGGTGATCATAAAAAAACTTCTTCCAGCCTTAAAACCAGCCGCACTCTCTTGCTGAGGCTCTCCAGGTGCCAGATCTGCCATCCRTGCCGGGCACTTTTCCCACGCGCAGGGCCAAGGTGCGCAGCCAGCCCCAGGGTTATTCCTGCCCCCTGCCAGCTTGCCCAAAAAGCTGCCTTTTGAGTTAAAAAGAAGCAAGTGCTTTAAAAAATCTGCAAATGATTGTGTGTTAATAACAAGGTGGAATTATCACTTTGGAGCAAGAACTGATAGAGGACCAGCTGAGCTGCTCGGAAGAAGGAGGAGGGATTTGGGGACTTGGCTTTTGGTAGGAAAGAGGACAGAGGGCCCCCATTCCCGAGGCGGGTGGGCTTGGGAATGGGTAGCAGAGAGCATCTGCCGTATTTATTTTGGCAGCACCTCTGGCTTGCTGTCCTGGGGCAGGGCACGGTGCTGTCCATCCAGCCTAAAACCTGGTCTTCACCTTGGGGAGCTTCAATCTAGCTTCACGCCTGGCTTTAGTGCAAGGAGGATAACTCCCATCTCCCCCGAGATCATTTGGAAAATGAAAAGAGATACAAACCRCGATAGTGCTGGCTCTTTGTGCTCCGAATAAATTAGGAGGGGAAGCACAAATAGGGAAGATTCCCAAAGAAACCGGTAGCACCCGTTCAGGCGGTCTGGATAAAGAACACAGGTCTTGTTTTTCTCCCCGAGTTCAGGGCAGACATCATGCTCAGCAGAGCACCAAGACAAGGGTTGTGGACCTGCGGCCCTCCTCTAGGCATCTGCTGGAGCTGCTACCTGGAAAAGTAGCTCCAGGGGCTTTGCTTGGATTTGCAAGAGACTGTTCATTCCTCAGCGCTTTTATTTCTTTAGTCACCTTGSGGATCTCAAAGGAGTCACGTTTGGATGGCCCCAGAGCAGAATGCATCCTTCTAGGGCAATTGGAAAGGCCCTGTCTCCAGGGGCAGCAAGGGAAGATGAACCTTCCTGGTTAGAGGCCAAGGTTGATCCTCTAGGTCCTGTGTAGGGGCAGGGAAAGTGAATGCAGGTGGATGAGGTTTGGCTAATGAGCTTTAATTAACACCTCTGAGGTGCACTTGGCACCTTGAGCAGTCAGGGCACTGGGGGGTTGAAAGGCAGCAGTTGTTGTGGTCAACCATAGGCTCAAGGCTGTGGCTGGCACCTGGGAAGGGTTTGGCTGGTGCCAGAGGTTGGCCAAGGGGCCTCGCTCCTCCTGCAGAGGCTGCAGAATGTGGCGTATTTCAGCAACCACTGCAGATCGGGAGCTGCTGCAGGGGCAGCCCTGATCCAGTTCTCATGGCAGCCTATGGAAAAGTCCCATCATCTTTGGTGGAGCTGGAACTGGGCCCCTATTCTCTGTGGGTCACTTTATTGGTCAGGATGTCCTGGTTTTCTTCCAAGGTGGCTGCCTTTGCAGCCGTGGCTTTTCAGATTAGCTATGAATTTAGAACCCAGGTGATTGTGATTTCTTTCTTTTTTTCATTTTTTTTTTTTTTTTTTTAAATCAGCTTCAGCTGGTGAACATGGAAACATTATTTGGGAGAGAGGGGCAGCCAATAGCCTAACGAAATGCCCCTTTGGCTAATTAGCACGGCTAGTGTCTAGTGCTGATTTAGCCGGGGAACAAAGGGCCCAGCCCAGGGGGCTCTTTGCTGAGGTTCTGGTGAGGACGTCAAGCTGGACCCATGTGARCTCTTGCACCTCCTCTGGTAGACCCAGGTAAGGCAAACCTGGCACGGGCACCTCAGCATTGGTACCCCTGGGTTTTGGGGTACTGTGAGATATATAAATATGTATTTTTTTCTTCATGTATTGAGGTGACTCAGGGACAAAAGGCAAGGTGAGCCTTAGTGTTGCTTTTAAAGCCAAATATACATTATGTGCGTTATGTGTGTCAAGCTGGGGCTTCTAGGGAGTTATTTTTCTCCCGCAGTGCCTGGTGAGGGGCGAGGCGAAGTCAAGTTCCCACTTGAGGCTGGGTCTGCCGTGGGCCAAAGGGGCTGCTCAGGCTGGCCGGGCTGACGCGGGCTGAAGCCGGGTAGGCGCCTCCACCCTCGAGGGAGCCCACGGAGCCTCCAAAGGAGTTAACCGAGGGCGCCGCCTTTGCCGCGGCCCCCCGGCCCGCGCAAGGCGGGAGGCGGCGGTGCCGGCCGCCCCTTGCGCGCTGCGGGCCGCGCGGCCCCCCCGGCCCGCGCAGGCTGCGCGCAGGGCGGCGGCGCAAGCGCTGCTGCCGGCGGCGACGGGGCGCGTCCGCGGGAGGCTCCCTGCGGCTCCGGCGCGGCACGTCCCGCTTCCTTCTTTCCTCCTCTTTTTCCTTTTTTCTT